TCCCCGTGATACACTGTGGATCAGATCTTTGTGAGCCATTGGATTTTCATTGGCTGATTTTCAGAAGTAAATCACCTGGTCTTTCTTCCTAGTCCCTCTTAGTCTGAAAGCTCTGCTGATACTACTCCACAATAAACAGTAACAAGCCATTTTTTTAATTTTATTTATTTTGTTGTTGTTCACAATATACACAGCAAAACACCAGTTCAACAGCTTCTTCATGTACAGTTTAGTGACGTGGATTACATTCTTCTAGTTGTGCAGCCATTCTCACCCTCCTTTCCTAAGTGGTTCCTCCCTCATTAATGTAAAATTACACCTTCGTTAGTGCCCCACTAAATCTTTTGAGTTGCTGTTGTCAGTTTGACACCATATTGATAGTTCTTAAAATAGCACAATGCTCAAGGCAGACATTCCTTACTAGTTAAGCTAAACCATTGTTTGGTTTTAAGAACAGTTCAGGGTATATTTTTGGTTTAAGGTTTAATGTTTAAAGATTATCTCAGGACAGTAGTTTCAGGGGTTCATCCAGCCCCCATAGCTCCAGAAAGTCTGGAGTCCATGAGAATTTGAAATTTGTTCTGCATTTCCCCCTTTTTGATGAGGAGCAGAACTCATGAAGCATATTAAGGAAATGGTTCACATGGTTGTGAAGGCTGGCAAGTCCCAAATCTGTGGGTCAGGCGTAGGCTTCTCCTAACTCAGATGGCCACCAGGACTGACAAACCCAAACTGGCAGGCCGGATGACAGACTACTGGCTCACAAGGCCGTAGAAACTGACAAACCAGGTCCGACAATAGACTGCTGGCCAACGGGGCTGAGCAAGCTGGAAAATCCCAGAATCAGCAGGTCAGATTGCAGGCAACTGCTCAAGTCCCAAGAACCAGAGGTTAGAAAATGACCCAGGATCCAGGTGCAAAGAGAGAAAGAGAACCTTGCCAGAACACCCAAATACAAGCCTTGGATGCAGGCCACACCCCAGGGGAGAAGAGTGTAACTTGAGTAATGGTGGGACTTGAGTCACACCCTCCTGCAAGGCTGTGACTCAATATACACCCCACACTAATCCTGCCCCATTAACATATAGAGGTTAGGATTTACAACACATAAAATGGAGGATACTTAGGATAATTACATCAGATCACAAAATGGAGACAATACTGGGAATCATAGCCTAGCCACACTGACACATAACCCCAACCATCACAGGTTCCATATATCTTATCTACATAGTCCCCCTCAATCATTGTGTGTGAGTCACAAAGACCATGGCTAGAAGGCCATATTAAGTAATTCATTGCACCTAAATATCTAGCACACAATTCTTGCCAGTTCAACTTTTTACAGGTGTACAATTTATTG